GCGCTCTGTCATTTTATGTAACTGTTATAATGTTGCCGTTACTTTTAAGAACTTGTCTATGTTTTTCGAAATCTCAACCTTTTTTTTTCATTTTGCACAAATGCGTTAAGTCTTGTTAAAAATGTTGATTCATTTAAAATACTAGAGATTTTATTATAAGGTTTCATATATATATATATATATATATATATATATGTATATATAATACGGGCAAGCGTGGATATGTAGAGGATATATATATATATATATATATATATATATATTGAGCAGTCATGTACCTTTCTATTTCATGACTTACCTGTAGTTAGTTATTGCCCATATTACCATCTCGCTCTTTCTCGTGTTCTCGCTTTCTCTTTGCGAAATAATAACATAACCTCTGTCGGCTTGTCTTATGCGAAAAGGTAGGCAGAAAAGCAAAATTCGTGAAATCTACTTTAGAGAATGTTGTTATAATTTTTGTTAACTCATCAAGTCATGTTCGCTTCGGTTTGGTTTGTTTTCTTTGCACTGTAACCGTAACCATATATATAAAGGAAATGTATATTTGTTGACTTGAAAATGCATATACATATACATGTTGTTTTGTTATGTGTGTCTTTCTACGTCTGCTGTATGATGTTAGAATAATTTTTGAAAAGAGTTAACTGTCCTGTATCCGCCAACGTGTGCGTTATTTATGAGGGTGCTATGAACTTTTGTCGACAAAGAAAAATTATTATTGAACATAAGCAGCAAATGAACAACTGAGGAGTGGAAATGTTCTTCGATTCCTTCTATAATGTCTTTTGTTTTCTTTTTTTTCTTCATTATTCAGTATTATTTAAAAGATATATTATCAGGACAAAAGTGGTTCATAAGATTTTTTTCCTATAAATACTCTAATATCCAGAACGAAGAGGTTCAAAGCACTATTTCTATTGACTTGCAGTTACATTACAGATGACAACGTTGCCGCTGATTGGCGTTAGGATAATAAATATAATAATGTACTTGGATTATCTCTGCTATATAAACACAGTTTTATATAAAGGGAATTAATAGCAATATTGACGAAAAGAGCAACAACAAAAAAAGAAAACAATATAATGCTTATATATAACATAACACGCAATATGTGCAAATCTGACACGGATTAATCAGGTTTCTCATACCCATAGTTCATTCGTAATGAGTGCTGATTATTTAAAAGAGAAATTACTATGGTGGACCATGATCCATCACTAAATATCCTACACGACCCTACAGTTATTCATATAACGAACTTTCAAAATAAACTTTGGATAAGAAAAGTGGTTGATAAACTCGTCCGATCATCATTAATCACTAGTATTCGTTCTTGGGCCAAATTGCATAAAAACATTTCCAAAAATTGCGGCCTATTGCGATTGTGCGCGAAAAGCATGACGGATAGACGAACAGAAGGACCGACAAGGTTAGACTTAATAAATGATAGATCATCCCAAGTCCTCATAGGAGACAGAATGCAAATTTTAGTTGATTGATCCGCTAATTATGTAACTTAAAGAATAGCCCAAAGATTCATCTCACCAGGGCTAACAAAAGGACACTTTGCATAGACAACATATGATCATTGAAAAAATGGAATGATGCACTAAGTAACTACGATTAGCAGAAACATCCATAATGAAGGATTAATAGCTACGAGGTGAATACAGGTTTTTCACTGGTTGCTTATCGATTTGTAATTCGCCCTATGTGGCGAAGATGTATTTATACCAAAGTGTTCACACATAACCATGCCTCCGTCCGTCCGTCCGTACGTTGCTGCCGCTTTCAAAGTAGCTCGCAAAATTCCAAACCGACTTCAAAACTTTTATCAATTTTAAAAATAGGCGTGGTCTATCTTTAAAAATATCGAGCAAAACACCAAAATATATAGTGTGTATTAATGGACTACCACTTACCGCAGCCATAGATAACATATATTATGCATTTTTATTAGTTTCCAATAAAATTGAAAACTCACAAAAAAAAGATAATTTTTTTTATTGAAATTTTTACAAATAAAATAATATCGAAAAAATTTTAATAAAATATTTTTAGTATTTATAGCCTTTGCTGCAAAATAAAAAGTCTTTGATTAACTGGAAAAATTTAACATACACAAGACAATTAATTACATATAAGCAAACATTGGCTCAAAGTATATGTAGAGCTGAATGCCTCGTATTTTTAGGTTACATAACTGTCAAGTCTTGATTTCTTACTTTTATAACGGTCCAGTTAAGAAAAATTCAAAACATAAAGTCGGGCGAGTACATGTGAATTAAGACCAATTGTAAAAGCGAGCTAAGCAGAAAATATAGTAAGAAAAGAGAGAAAAAAAATTTTGTTAAATATTTCTTTTTTTGTTAAATGAAAACAGGTTATCGGTTACGTTTATTTTTGGAATATTGATTACATCGTCTGGCTTAAAAAAAAAAAAAAAAAAAAAAAAAATTGAAATGTATAACGTGCCCGTTTACCAACCAACAAGTGTATGCAAGACATATTTTTCTTACATCTTACAACAAAAACAATAACAACAAGCTAGGAAAACAAAATATGCGTAGAAATACCAAAAACGATGAAAAATTTAAGAAACATTACGTGATAACGTGTTATACGAGTAATTCGCAGTTAAAAAAAAAGAAAATTTATACTTAAAAAAAAAAAAAAATTAGCAAAAGAGTTAAAAATAAAACTAGAACTCAATACAACCCACCACCGGCCAAACAGTCACTCTATATCTACGCATTAGCACCGATTCAATGTTTAAACGCAAGTAAAACTAGATTTTTTTTTTTTTTTTGTTTGCTAAAATTATATAGAAATCTACGATTATTTATGTCGACATTACGTACTTTTAGGCCATAAATTTTAAAAGATTGTCCACTTATCTATATGTGTATGTGTATGATTGCTTGAATTCAAGCGACCCCTACAGGGACACGTAATGTATTTTGAAGTGATCGTTGATTTTCTATGAAAACCTCAACATGTGACAATAATAAAACATTTGTGATGCGTACCTATATAGAAGCGTTTGTGTGTAGGTTTTTATCATGTATAAATGAAAGAAACCCACAAGGTAATTAAACATCGTTTTGATAAAAAATATGTGGTGAACCATTCAGTTCACATTCCGATAAAAAATAACTTAAAATAAAAATACTATTTTTAAAATCGAAAACGATTTCAGATTTGCATTGACTCTAATCGTTTAAAGCTTTAGCTGTTTTTAACGTGTATGAATCCGCATTCATTGTTCTCTCTCTCTCCGCGAATATAACATACTAGGAATCCGTAATCCCAAGCGAAGCCAATAAGAGACCCGTAAGCTCTATTAAAACAGATTTTTAGATTTGGTCTTTTACATAAGCACATGTAAATGTTCAAGTCTATCCGTCAGTATGTTAGAATAAAGCTTAAAGCAAACGTGTCATTACACCCTACATCAAGGTCAGGCAAATTTTTCGTCAACAGGCCAATTTCAATCTTCATATGATGGCGAGGCCCAGAACAAGGCTCAACTACTATTACAAATATGGCATTGTGTATCAATGTCCCCGCCTTTTAATTGCATCCAAACACATTTCACAGATAATAACTGCACAGCGCACAGGTAGTGAACGCAGATACCATTCATTTGCAGCATGGCTAAGTGCGAGCAAATTGAATTCTTTGAAATTTGAAACTTGGTCGAACTTGACAACATCGCAGGTTGGAAGCGGATCGCGTGCCGCCGGTTACCCATGCCAGCCATACATTACTTGTACATTACATGGTGCAAGGTGATGTATGTGTGCGTGGTGCTTGGTGCAACGCCCAAAAGTAGTTGAAATAGATTCAGATCATTTGCCACTGATCGATTTAGAATCACTCAAGAGTCAATTTCTGAATCCATATAAGCTTGTCTGTCGGCCTTGTCTTCCCGTGTTCAACCTATAGGACGCAATTTTTGAGATATTTATGACATGATCATCTTTCTGAACCGTTAACAAATGCAACTACTAAATAAATATTTAGCGACATATATATGTATATATCTATATATGACATTGCTCAGGCCAAGGGCATTTTAAAATGAGGGAAGCTTTTATATTTCATTGGGCCTGTATATATTGAGATCAGCAAAGTCATAAGAGCAACGAATGATGCGTTTATTGCATTTTGATTATAAGCAATTTCATCTAGAACTTTGTAAGTATTTTTCAGATCGTATTTGAAAGTAGTACGCACATAACACTATGTTTATACCGATATATACACGTATATACACATAGGTGAGATTCTAAATAGATTTCATCTGCATTTCCTTTCTTTCGTTGTTTTTTTAATATGACCCACCACTCAGGGGATGTTTCTACTCGTATAGGAGGATGTCCCTAAAGCAATGAAAAAGGGATAGACAATGGTCGCGGCTTGGTGGGTTCGTGCTCAATTAGCAAGTGCTATGCTTTTAATGGCCGATCAGTCACTGCAGATAAAATTCAGAAAACTCTTCCGCGCTGTACTTTAAACGTATCACGTACACTGAGTTGGTAGTCGCAACTCGTATTTATTCAACTATTCGGTTCCAATCTGTTGCAAGCCGCTAATAACTAATATTACTGCACTTACTGCATATTACCTAGAGCCGTTCGTTAATGACTGTGACTCTTTTACTTGTTCAGCTGTAAACCGTTCCGTCAATTTTTCTCTTAGTGTCATGTGAAATAATACTGCCCTGTTCGTAATGTATAAGCAATTACTGTACCATAAGATAATCAAAATACAATCATACCTATAATCATAAACATGATAACTAATATAACGTATACATCATTTATAGCCAAAGGATAGTTAACGCAAAGTACGTATCTGATAGCCCGGTTCAGCGGGTTTCTAAATTTTACTGTACATCAAAATGAAAATAAATAAAAATTTAAGAAAAATTCAATTTTGTCCTCCTAAAAACACACAAAGTTCGCGCTGATAAAAAAAAGCATGCATCCTTTAGGAAGTCCGCAATTATGGTTTTTTTTTAATTTCTTTGTCTATAATGATTGCATAACAATAGTAAAGTCCGAAAACATATAACACAATTAAAAGTAATAAAATTAATATATTAACGAAATTCTTTGCATTTTCCATCAACGTCAGGCCTTCGGTATGGAATCATTGTTCGCCTCAGTAGTAGTGATCGCTAAGTTTGTATCCTTGTTTTCCGCTTTCCCCGCCAAGTACGCGGTTCGATATGTCCCTGCGGGATCGTAGATTTTCTCCAAACGTTCCCAATCCTCGGGACGATTGTCGATTAAGAAATGCGTCACCTTCTCCGAACCGTATTTCTGTTTCTGGGTACATTTGGCGCAATCGGTCGCCATAGCGTCCGGTATTGTCTCTAAAATTTGCATAACCTTAAAATTTTCATTTGTTAATCGTACAACACACACAACACAAAATAGATAAAAAATAGAATATCAAAAATGTCTGAATAGAAAGTATAGTAAATAAGAAAATCTATAAGTCTATGGACATATATACATACCCTTTAACATTTTACCATCTGGTGTGCAAGGTCCGGCACCTTCTAGGCATTTAATATAATTTTTAAGTAAACGTTCTTGTCCTAATATCTCATCCAGATCGACGTTATCAAATTTATTATCGTAGCTTTGCTTGAAAGGAGCTGCCGTCGTGGCCGGAGGATGCGGTAACGATTTCACACTGTCCCAGGCAATTATTGCCGTTACAATGCAAATACCAAAGAAACGTAACATGTTGTTGATGATGAGAAACTCTTTATCTATCTGTAGTATTCGAACAAAACTTATAAGCATTTATAGTTGAGTGCAGATAGTGCTCCCGTACAGAATGCGTGTTTTTAGTTAATATTGCGAATTATTTTAATCGATTTCAACATATCATTTAAATTAGTAACAATTGTTTTAATGAAATAATCAAAAATAATTTTATAATAGACAGAGGTTTTCTGAAATACTTTGAGTTATGCTTTTAAACCTATTATCCCAGTAATATATTCATTATATTATTCTGTTTGTCAAATGAAAAAATTCTCGTTAAAAAATAATCAATATATTCTATTATCTATATGTCGACTTGTGCGTCCCCTCAACTCATAGAAGTTTCACAAAAAGAAACCTTAATCCCCATAATGGCGAACTAAATTGCGACAGATATCAGTTGCTAGCTTGAAACTTATTAAAGGGAGTTAGACTGCGTCAATTTTTCTATGAGCTATGGACGGGAAGAATCTTGTTCAGTTATTAATATTATTATACTTATACCAGGACAGTGATACTCACCATTAGCAAATAACGACCTTTTAGCTAACATGAAGGCGTATGGGTTGAAGACAGACCCCAAGGAGCCTATTGCGAAAGCATTGGTAGCAATTGTTACAGAACGCTGACTTTTCAGTCATTCTAAGCCCGTTGCTCGTTTTCAGTAAGATCAAGACTCCGCTGGATGGGTATTTTGGTGAATAGTGCAAGTTTTTGAACCGAAAGTCTTCTGTTTCTTGAAGCATTTCTTTTTAATATATAAGCGATAACAAACACTAACAATATATCAGTGCAATAGATCTTTAGGGCATCAGGTTTGATAATGCGATCTTTTTATATCAAAAGAGCTTTCGTACGGGCAACTTTTAGGTATTAGCTATCTCACGCAATTTCAATTTTCGATCTCCTTAAAGGATTATGTGCACTTCTTTCGCGGTCGCGTTTAAAATCAGCGAAACACTTCTTTACCATTCGTCTCGAGGGGACAGAATCCAAACGGTATTTTTTGTCATTTACGAAGCAATGCTTGATCAACCCATGAAATCCAGATTTGTCTGAAACTTGCAAAATAAATGTCACTAAAGGACATGTGGCTTGTAAACTAATGACGAGCATGCCATCAAATTATGACACATTTCGTGTTCACAGGGGCAGCATGTGTATGTGATTCTACGAACTTATTACGTGTCGTGGTATTAACGGTATCAAAATATGGCAACAATTGACATATTTGAACACTTTGCGTAAATATTAGGCTCTTCTGAATAAAAAAGTAAGCAATAGTAGTCTAGGAAAATACGCTTTCTTTTTTGTTTTTTTTTTGTTTTAATTTATGCGAACGAGATCCCAAAGTGGATAAACATTTGAAATTCATTTGAAATTCTTTTTAACTTTACTTTTTCTCCTTCTTTTCAGCTCTCACTATTTTTATAATCTCTTCTTATTTATTAGCAAGCATTTTATTATTTAGTTTGTTGATTTATTACCATACTACCCGCAAACTGTTGCTTATTGGACGGTACCTCTTTTCCGGCTATGAAAAAAAACGCAGCCAGCGAAACTTAGATAACACAGACTATTATTACATAATATTGTGTATATGCTTAAAAGAATTTAGAAATGTTTTATTGCTCTTATATAAGTTCTAACGTTCACTTTACAAATGTACAACACCACCACCGCTGGCACAATTTATACATATTTATACCTTACTCCATTTACTTAGCAACGGCATGTTCAGTTGAGTTGAACGTGAGCAGCATATATCGAGAAACACGTCAGACAGATTCGCTTATTTGTCTTCATCATATTAATCGATGCAAATTCAGTTTCTGCATCGACTTAATCATGTGTGTATATCTGTTTGCCCCATTTCGGTGGTAGGTTGCAAGTTTAGAGACACTTTGAAGAAACGCAATATATTTACATATTTTGCCGCAAGGACAAACGCTATGTACTTTTCAATTTATTCAACACGAAAGGAAAATAATTTTTCATATATATTATTTCTCGACAAAGATCGTTGAAAAATAATACTTTGGCATACTAAGGCTCTCAGGACATTTTTGAGAAGGTGAGCTATATAAAATGTTCTTATAAAAAAAAGGAAAGGGAAGAAGTCTTCATATGCCAATAAAACCTAATTTCTATGTACCCATTACCGAAGGATGAGAGGTATATTCATTTCGTCAAAACCTTTGTAACATGTAGAAGAAAGCTTCAGAGACCCCTTACAGTATATATATTCTCGGTCGATATAAAATTCTAAACCTATTTAAGCATGTCTCTCGGTCTGTGTGCCCGTCTGCAACAATCGTCTCTAAATTTGCAGAAGGATTGGAATTTCTTGCACGCAGACTCGTACAGTACAACAGTTGGGAATCAAATAAAAGGACAAGGAAAATAGAATGTGGTGTGAGTAGAGCTAGGCGTTGCGATGTGGTGAATTAATTTTTTCTTCACATTCCCGTCGATATGGGTGTTAAAGAAAAGGACTTGTAGGCCACTTTTTTAGGATAAGGGTAATGGGTGTAGGAGACTCGACCACGGCCAAATATAATTTTTTTACCTTGTATTCAATATTCATAATGAAAAGTCATCGAAAACAGAGATTCGATAGATCGACTTGCAAGGTAAAACTTTAGACCACATAGGTCTAGTTGTTGAACGATCCCATCTCCATATATTTATATTTTCCTATATATATTTTTATGAGAGCAAGTTGTAATTTTTGATAGTGAGGACGTCCGTTCGCAAGTAGTGATGTGGAGTATTTAATAGCGCCGCTTGCCTACCAATAACGTCGTAACTTATTCTTTTATTTTATATTTACTTGCGAGTTATTCATTTTGTGGAAAAAGATTTAAAAAAAAAAAGAAGGAAAATCATTACTTCTTTTATGCTCTATTTAATTGTTTTGTTCAGATTTTTATTACGATTTCCTCTTATGTATAAGAAGAAAGCTTAAAATCTCTTCTAACTGGAGAGTATATTAAATTGGTTAACCGTCTCACCTAAAAGCCAAAAATATCTAGATCTTTTTTACTTGCATTCAGTGTGCAATTCTGAATCGATTTAGTTAGAGCATGTCTAGACTAAAAATTGTCATGAATAGCAAGCAAATATCCTTTGGAGACAAAATTTCACAAAATTGTTTTATATATTCCAGATTAGAAGAACATTGCAAATCAGTTCAGCTTTATCCGCTCAGCTGTTTGTTTGTTAATCAAATTTTACAAACGACAACAATTTTGAAATATTTTATCAACCTTGAAAGAGTAAAGGAGTTCCTAATCTTGGTGCATTGCGTTACAACAGGAAAATGGTCAATTCCTCGATTCCTTTTTAATTTATTTACCTTCGATATGCTCAATAAAATCGAAAAGACGTATATTGTTTGTAAATGACACTACTATATACCATGATGACAGCACAATACAAAATATCAAGTAAATATGTGAAAATCCTTTAATATCGTTGAACAAATGCACGCGAACAGAATGTTAAACTATTTTATTCACAGCTACGTTAGATAAATGCAAATTATATTAACAACAAAAACAAAACGAATTGAAAAACTTTTGGCATCAAATCTAACTAAATAAATAAACACCTAAATACTTGGAATATCCTTCACTTTAACCGGCATGTTACCGCACTAAAGCATAAATGAAGCAAGAAAAGCGTTCTTCTTTTTTGGTAAATCATTGCTAAGTGCAAAGCCAAAATAGTAATGCATCAAATGTTAAGCAGATTCATTGTGACATGTGTGTGTAACTTACCTTGTTTTTTTTTTTTCTTTTAATATGACTAATTACTCAGGGGATGAGTCCTTTACATGAAACAGGTCGATGAGCAGAAAGAAGTGAGGGCAGAGCAAGCGATAGGGAGTTGCCGAAGCACAATGGGTGCGGCCCAATTGGTAAGCATTATGCCTTCGATCGACTGAGCTGTGCACTATAGCTGACACTGGGATGTGAACCGCGCCGACTGACTTGCATGGAAATAATCATATTCGAATGAAACTATTTAAGAAAGAGAAAGAGTAAGAGAGTCACAGAGAAAGCCTGATTCAGACATAGCAATAACATTAAATATCACACTAATAAATTGTTTTATAATACAATACATTTAAGAGGATGAAACACAGTGACATCCTGAAAAGAAAAAATTGTTTTGGTATTTTCTTTGGAATAGAAGAAAACGTTGTAGAATAATAATACCTGAGGAAGTTATTAAGCGTAGTTTAAAGTACCAGGAAAAAAGAAATTATTTTGGAAAGCTATTGAAAAATGCCCACACCCCAGCTGTTCTTTGGGGACATTTTTCACATAAAAGACTCTGCGGCACGCAGCATAACAGATCCAAATTTAAAGTTGGAAAGCAAAAAAATCATTTAAACCACATCCTTTAATATACGGAGCTACGAAGGAGTTTCAGAAATATTTATTTTTGTGTAAATGTTTTGTGTAAGTGTTTGCTTGAAGAAGTGCAAAAGACATTCTTTTATCAATAAAAAGGCTTAAATTAAATTGCCGAAAGAATCCTACGCATTTCGCTAGGGAATGTGGTTTCAAAGATGGTGCAAAGATTTCAAATGAAAAACCCGAAAATTGTTTGAGTTATGTGGTACGTGCCGTTTTGAAAATTTCTGATTCGAGATAAACGCATTTAAAAGGGTAGAGTGTGTTATAGATTTGTGTTTATTTTTTTTTTTTTTATAATGAATTTTTTGTTAGTTTTTCTAGTAGTTGGGAATTGCAGGGCGATAAAACTGCCTCTCCTCATTCTCTTCCCTCCGTGAACGTGCTGCTTTTGCTGCGCCTGTCAAAGTCACTGCTCAGCATTCTTAATCTGCTTAGCGTCGGTATGATTCGATGCTAATATTCATTCACAATATTCTCGTAACATTGAAATTACACACAGCAATGTCAGTCGCTATGTCCAAAACGCAAAATCTCGGAAATTCAAGAAAGAAGTTTTCTACGGGTAATCAATTTTTCTCAAGTATTCTATAAAAAGTCCATAGCATCTATTCAGAAAAAACAAAAAAGAATAAAGTTTACCCCCTTAATAAGGAAGACTACATGCATTCAGTTCTACACAATGGAAAGAGAACTAAGTAAAGACAATAGTAAACCTAAATACATATAAATGATTTCTATCTTTTGTTGTCCCTTTAGCAATTTTTAAGACATGTATTTTGTGTGAATTCCTAAGGAACAAAAAGTCGTACTTTTCGTGTCTGTCTTATCTTGCACTTTAGAACACCAAAATCAAGTCACTTTTTGGTTTTCGTTACCCTATGTCTACGGCTGGCTAATATCTTTGAACTAAACCATATTCGAATATTGAAGCTTCTATCGAATTTTAAAATATTAATTGAATAAAAACTGAAGCACCAATGATTTCCATGTGCTTACTTACCAAGGGTGTTAAGGTGCTTAAGATTCGATTTAAGATTAATACAATTTTTTTAACTTGCAATATATGCAAATATGAGCACAACTTTGTCAGATATAGGAAATAGGAATTGATATTACAATTGTAAAAAAAAAAAAAAAAACAAAAAAAACAAAAGAAAATGTGCAATAATTTCCGCTGTATGTAAATCTCATAATTTCATGCTTCAAACATTTTTAAATCAATGAAATGATATTAAATGCTTAAGTTATAAGTACTGCATATGAAATATTGCACAATAGATGA